GCCTCAAGACCTGAGGAGATCCAGCCCAAGTTCTCCGCGATGACTGTGCTGCTGGTATCGGGGTTTCTCCGCGGCATCCCTGCCTCTGGACTGCCTCGCCGCTGCTCGCTTTGAATCCTGAACGCTGGGTTAAAGCTTAATTCTCATGCTGTGGTTGCTGCGCTGCCGCTTTCCCGTGTTTTGCAATGGGAGGTGGAGGAAAAGGGATTGTCCGTGAGTCAACACTGAAAATGTGATTAAGAGGAACTGCTTTCACTAATCTGTTTCTAACCTTTCGGTCCATGTTGGCCTGTGACCCCTTTCAGCTTTCAGATCGAGCCTGATTAGGTAAGTGTAAATTATTCACTTGGGGTGAGGGAAGGAGGATGGAAACGTTTTACTCGGAGACTTACCTACAATCCTGGCTGCTCTCGTGATGAGAAATGATGAGAAAGTTCAGCTGTAAACTAATTCTCATCAGAGCAGCATTTGTTTACTTGTTGAAATCTGGCCGTGCAAGACGTCTGCAGTCTGTCTGGTTTCCAGGATCGCCGCTGAGCCGAGTGCTCGTGAGTTTTTGTGGGACATCTCAGATGACTACAGACTGTAACAAAAGATAGTGGTCTTATTTATGATCTTCAGAGAACTTTTTGTTTTTAATTTGGAGAGCTTCCGCATCAAACTTCAGTAGATTCTCTCAGTTGTTTCACGTCTCCTGAGATGTGAACTACTTCATTTGCTTCTGCTTTTTTTTTCTCCCCCTAATTGTCCATCAATCTGAAATGTTACAGCCTACCTGTAGCATTTGGGTGGGCAGATGCTCTGCTCTGTAGATGGGTGAAGCAGCCTTATCTGCGTGAATCACTTGATTTCCAAACGACATGTCAGAATAGATACTGCTGATAGTAGTAACAGGGTACATAGTCCTTGTGATGGAAACGTAGTTAGTACTGCAATTAAGAAGATATCTTTTGAATTTGATAAAGCTTGTGTAATATCCGGTGTCTCCCTCTGTTGTGGCTTTGGAAAAACTGCTTTGTCAACAGGATCCCTTAGCAGCTTCTCTAGGATTAAAGCTTTCTCCTCCTCCTGCTGCTGCTTTTTTGCTTCAATTAAGGGAGAATTAATTGCTGGACATCTGCAGTCTACCAAAAATCCCGATACATAAAAAATACCTCCCAAAGGGGTAGAGGGGGAGTAGATGTTTGTGTACTGTGTGCGTAGGTTAATGCATGTTTGTATGTACTGTGTGTATCTGTGTGTGCACGCTCCTGGGAAGGGAGGAAGAGAAGGAATGACAGACACATCCAAACAGTCCTTTTTTTAGTTTGTGCCAGCAACTGCCTCCATCGTTCCTCAATCCATACAACGCTAATATTTCATCTCATTTAAAAGTTTCCTGTAATACTTTGCCCAGTTCTCTTAAGAGAGGTCAGAAACTGGTTTGCTGCTGGGGTTGCAGCGGCAGTTGGCTGGTGTGCGGGCAGGACGGTGTGTTGGTGGCAGTGATGTGGCACCGCGGGCAGCCAATAGCGCACCCAAGACGCGCACACGGAGCCTTCGCCTGGAGCTGGCTGTCCCTGGGGGCAGCGCGAAGCTCCCCTCCCTCTCTAGGTCTGTCCTCCGCTTCAGCAGAGCTCTCCAGAGGTCGGGCCGTGCTGCGTCGCTCCCGAAGTTTTAGAAAGGCTGCAGCTTAATGAAACAAATGCATTTCAGCAGCTCCATGCATTACACAGGCATTTAACATCCTGCTCTCTGCGTTTCTCTCTGGGAATTACTGAAATGCTGAATAATGGAGAAGGTGAATTACATCTTTGCTTCTGTTGGGATTATATGTACCTGCTGCAGGCTGGGCTGTGTTGATAGCCCAGGTAGCCCCTCTTCCTCTTCAAAAATGCTGTATATAAAATTCTGTGCTATTCCACCTCACGCAGACCAGGTGTAACCCAGCACCATCTTTCATACTGGACGCAGATCTACCTACAGATTATGCTATCTCATTTTTCGACTTGGGTTTCCCACCTGAGCTTAATGAAGTGGGCTGTGCACCATATGTAGCACAGAGGGACATTGGCCACAGCAGGAGGTTAAGACTGTGTTTAAACTTCAAATCCCTCTGAGCTGCACATCACCGTGCAGTTTCAGGGAGCTAGTTTAATTTCTGGTGCATCAGAAAACTCAAGTGCACAAGTGAGGAAAGTAAAAATGAGATGATTGTGTGAGCCACCATTTCTATTGAGATAATTTGTGGGCATATGCTTATAGGCATGTGTCTAATTTATGTATTTCATATGCTTTATTCTCTTTAACAGTAATTGAGAAGAGGTTTAATTCAAATGAAACGATGATAGTTATCTGTGCAGTTTGAAAGCACTAATTTACTCTTGGGTGCTGGTTGAAAGTATTGCATTTGTAAAGTCAATATTCCTTAGAGTTTTGAGTTTGTTCTCACTTTTTAATATTTGTTTTCAGACCACAAGACTGGTCTCCCTATGGAAGCAGCTGTTTCTATCTGGCACTGAGATCCCATGGAGAAGCTGAGGAGGGGGATGGCTCTTCATATCCATGAAGCTTGGATACTTCTCTTTGTAATCCCTGCTTTGGTCACTCCAGCTGCCATCAGTCATGAAGACTACCCTGCCGATGAAGGGGACCAGACCTCCAGTAATGACAATCTGATCTTTGATGACTACCGAGGAAAGGGCTGTGTGGATGACAGTGGCTTTGTGTACAAACTGGGAGAACGTTTTTTCCCGGGACATTCCAACTGTCCCTGTGTCTGTACTGAGGATGGACCTGTTTGCGATCAACCAGAATGCCCTAAAATCCATCCAAAGTGTACAAAAGTGGAACACAATGGATGCTGTCCAGAATGCAAAGAAGTGAAAAACTTTTGTGAATATCATGGGAAAAATTACAAAATCTTGGAGGAATTTAAGGTATGAAACTCTTTCTTCAGTATTTAATATTAGTTTGCTATAGGAATTGTCTTTCTCTCGGGGACTCTGAAAGGTGCTCAGTATTTTTTTACTGCTGTTAATTGTTGCTGAAGCTGAAGACCCTTTTAGCTTTGGTGCAGGTCTGGCTAATCTGCCACCTCCTCCCTCCTGTGCCCCAAGTGAGGGCCAGTGGTCAGTCAAAAGCCCCCGAGTGAAATGCCAGCCCTCTCGATCTGCTGCTCTGGACAACCTCCTCCCTTGCTCATAGCATGAATCAGGTGGGACTACCAATGGTGTCTGTAAAAATGGTGGTAAACCAATACTGAGTGCTTTTTAAGGACCCCTTTCCAATTTGGATAGCAAAAATTGATGGCAGGGTACTGAAAGTTGTTACTCATAACTGTATGAGAATGCAAGTAAGTAGATATGTTTAATATTTTCATTTCAACTGTGATGAGGCTGTCTAGAATGGCAGAAGGTTAATTTCTAGGCAAATGACCATCTCAAGCAATAACAAGTAGGGGGTTTAATTGTAATAGTTGAGTTCCTGTTAGGAAAGTTGTAAAGAAATCCTTCTGGAATATATCTTAAAAATAAGACCAAATTTTTAAAAACCATTACCCTTTATGCAACCTGCATCTCTCATTCTAATGAGTTTGATTGCATGCTTGCAGTTCTGCTGAGGAAAATAGCATCTCACAGTGAAGAACAGGGTCTGCAAAGGCAGTAGGTGTCCATGAGTTTGTTCTCCCAGGTTACATGGCTTCAAGATTCGTACCTCCATAATTAAGGACAGCCTGTAACTCTTTGTGGTTGTATGCCTGATCTCATCATACACTTGCCAATTTATTTTCTTTTCTCACAATGAAAATGCTTCCATATAGGTCTGTGTACTTCACAAGTTCTTGGTAGCAGAGGTCACGATTTGCTTTTTCCCAGATATTGTCATTTCAGTGAAGGTAGTATTTTGTTCCTTTCTTCTGTCATGTATGCTTTATGTTAATCTTCTTCTGTCCATCTGTAACTGCAGTCACTCAGTGTGGGCAAGACAGCTTAATGTCATAGACACAAGGCCAAACAAATACATGAGGAACATCTTCCTGAGGGCCATCCTGATCAACCTGTTCTCTGCTTTGCTTTGCTGAGGGATGTGAGGATGCTGCACTTGTGAACTGTTTCATTAACAGTTTCTTCTTGCCCTCGGAAGACCTAGCCCAGCTTCATCCCAAACTCATGCTTCAGTGGTCCCATTTGGGCTGCTGTGTTGTCAGGTGGTGAAGCCTCCTGCTTAGGTGTAATTCTGACACGTGGTCAGGTTCTTACGTGAGAGATTTCAGGATGGAGAAAGTTATAAGGACTCTTCTTGGAGAGATTTCAGTGGGAAAATGATGAGATTGATGTCCTCATTCAAATATCTTCTATCTGTGGATGAAGTACAGAAGTACTAATCACTTTTCCTGAAAGAAATAATTGTACCCTGATAACGTATTAAAGGATAGAGAAACAGAATTTAGGGGAGGAAGGCTATTAGAGGAAGTTAGAGCCTTCTGGTTCGTTGTTTGCTGTGTTCAAAAAACTGGCGTGTTGCATGGGAAGTGAAGTTCCAGTATCCTCAGAAAAATACCGAGTAGATGGTGGCACACCACTCTGGCACATGGGAACCTGCAGTTCAGGACTCACGTGAGATTCTTCAAACTTAATTTAGTCGAGCTTTTGACCTGGACCTGTGTTGCTGAGAGCTTGATACCTTGTGGAGTAGGAGAGAAAGCGATTTTTTTTCTTTTTTAATCTATGTGTTTACCCAGAATAAATAGTGAAACTTTTTTTCCTCTGAGTAATGGAAGAGATACAAGAAATGGAAGATTTCTGTGCAATTCCAGGGGTGTTTTAGGAGGGGGAAAAAAAAGGAGCACGTGTGAACTTTAAATGCTATAGGAAAGACAGAACTTCAGGATTCAGGATAGTCGAGCTTTTGACCTGGACCTGTGTTGCTGAGAGCTTGATACCTTGTGGAGTAGGAGAGAAAGCGATTTTTTTTCTTTTTTAGTCTATGTGTTTACCCAGAATAAATAGTGAAACTTTTTTTCTTCTAAGTAATGGAAGAGATACAAGAAATGGAAAATTTCTGTGCAATTCCAGGGGTCTTTTAGGAGGGGGAAAAAAGGAGCACGTGTGAACTTTAAGTTTATAAATGCTATAGGAAAGACAGGACTTCAAGATTCAGGAAACTGCTGCTATGAAGTGAAATCTTGACTGCATTGAAGCATCTAAGCATTTTGCTGGTTACTTCAACAGAACACAGATTTTGTCTGCTATGTCCACAGCTGAAATTCTGAGCCGTTCATAGGTTTTACAGGCTCGGACCTCTGCTTTTCCCTTGCCCTGCTGAATTTGTAAGGTCTGCAAACTTTCTCCAGTCCCTTCCACACACATTGAAGTCTGTCTTTGCCAAAAAGGAGAGGCTTTCTCTGTCATTCTGACTGGAAACCAGACTGCTTCCAGTGGAAACGGAGACATTGCTTTGTGTGGGCTCGTAACCCTTTTAACCCACTTGATACTTTCACTGATACGTAGGTCCGAATCATCGTCCGTAGAAGTGCTTGTCACTGCTTGGTTACAGCTGAAATGAGCCTCCATTTAAAAATCTTTTGCAAGTGTGTGTCTGGTGTGTGTGCACACAAACATTCATACTTGCTCTAGTAGTATTATTACCAGGATTGACTCATCTTGTAGAAATTTCAGCTGCCTCATCTTTCACAAATTAGGATTGTTTTTTTTTTTTTTTTTGTCTAGGATGTCAAAATCTGTGAGAGGTTCAATTTGAGAGAATTTTCCTGTCTCACTTCTAGGTTTCTGTTTAGGTTTGAGGTGAGAAATCCAAATGCAATTTAATCTTTTATTTCTTACCACTGACAGTAACTGTAACTATCTCAGGGTAAAGGAGTAGTTATAAAGACCTATTTCTTGAATATTTATCTTTCTTCTAGTGAACTGATCACGTGCCTCTGATTCTTTTTACTCATAGCAATCATAAGCGCAAAATACAAGCATGACAACAAGCTGTCTAGCTTAGCTGTCCAAATGTTTATGCTTGTGCCCCTAAGTTAACATGTACAAATGAAATGCTGAAGTTCAATTGTAAAATCTAAACTCATTCGTAGTTTTTCTTGTATCCTTTTGTTAAACCTTGCGTCCCTGACAGATGGTTTAGTAACCCTGTGTAGCATCTTCATAGCTCTGTGATGGGTCCTGGGAGATCTTTTTGGGTTTTGGGCCCCAGCTGCCCATAGGAGCCTGCCCCATCCCTTGGTTTGCTTGGGACTTATCCCCAACTTCAGCTGAGGCGGTGGTTCCACCTGGAAACCCTCACAGAAAAGATCAGCACAGTCTCCTGAATGTGAGTCAAGATCCGACTCAAACTCGTTTAATGTGTAGATTGCTGCCTGGTGTTCAGGATTTTGACTCCTGTGGAGACGTACGCAGGAGAAAGGGGAGGTCTGGTGGCTTTTACTGGGATCCTTCTCTGTCTTTTCCAACCTCATTTTCCACTTTGTCGGCCCCAAATGTGGTCTCCTGCATCTCCTCCAGTCCCTCTCAGAGGCAAACATGGGGTGACAGGCAGCTGCGGTGGCTGCAGGGAAGGTGTGAAGGATGCTGCAAGTCTCAGGCAGTCTCTGTTCTCTTCAGAGAGATCTGACAGGGACTTTCAGGGTCACTTAACAGCTTGCTTTTCTCCCACACATCAGCCGTGTTTTGATTTCAGTCCTGGAGGTTAAGGTCCGTGTCTCAAGTGCTGTGTGCTCGCCTGTGCTAGCAGAGATCTTTCAGGGAGGACGTTAACCCTCTTCTCTCTTCTCAGGGAGAGAAAATAAGCAAATAACAACTCAAAGAGCAGTCTCAGTTCTTGTAAGTATACACAGTTGTGTTTTAAATGAACAGCAGCTTCTGTAACCTTAAGGAGACAGGAGCCAGTGTGATGGATGTTCATTGGCAGCGTATGGGGAAATCATGCAAATGTCAGTGAGACAACAGTTTTCCCAAGCGCTGATTAGTTTTTACTCTCATGCCTAACTTGCTGACAGAGAAGCGCACGCCTAGCCACATTTAAGAAATGCAATTTACAGCCTTGTTTGAGGTATAGTTGTAGCCACAGTGAGGAGCCTTCTGACAATTACTAGGTTGTCAGTTTGAGAAGTCCATAATCCCTTGTGAACTTCCTGCATCTCTCATCACCCAATACAGGCATACCCAGAATAAACCTCTGTGGACCTAGAGGAATATGTAGCAAAATGCCATTGCTGGGGAATAGATGATGGGCTCACAAGAGACTGTCATTCTCCTCATTTTAGACCCTGCAGGCAGGAACTGTTCCCTGTCCCTGCAGGAGAGTGAGTCCAGGGGACATGTTTTTGGTAGCATTGTGCCATCCTTCTCAAAGTCAATGGCAGATATTTTCCAGACACAGACATTAAAATACCTCCGTTTGCCTGGCAGGACGTTGGGTGAGTTATCCTTTGCAGGGGAACACAAGACGTTTTGGCATCACAACTTATCCTTCCTGGCAATACTCATGTCACAAGAGCAGCTTCGGCCTGCAGTTGTGAACCAGAGCTTGGAAGCAGCTCTGAACATCAAGGACATTTCTTGGGTGCTCTTCAGTGACCACCCTGCTTTGTGCCAAGCACAGCGCTGTGGTTTTTTCCAGCCATGGGCTCTGCCAGTGCCTCACCTCTGTTGCTGCCTTGCACCTGCCTACCCTTTCCAGTGACTTCACCTCCTTGTTCTCTCCCCTTCCACCTTCGCTGTTCCTCTCCCAAACCCATCCTTGCTCAGAAGTCCCTAGGTGATGCCCAAATGTGTGCCCCTTGCAGCAAGCGCAAGCGTAGAGGGATAGAAGCAAGGGTAGAGGGGTGGAAGCAAGAGTAGAGGGGTGGAAGAGGGGTGGAAGAGGGGTGGAAGACAGGCCTCTGCACTGTGGGGAGAAAAAGAAAAACAGGGAA